CCTGATTGGATATTTCTTATAATGTAGTTTTCCTCCGTTCGGTTGACTTTATAAGGTTCAAAAAGTGCTTTAAGTATATGATGTAGGTGGAACGCTTTGCCATATACATTTTTCTTCTGGGGGCGTTGGCTGTTCATTCGTACTTTTCACTTTGAAGATAACTCGTTTTAACAGGTTAAATGTGATTCGTGGATGTCGCTACGTTTGTATGGTTGAATGCGTCTATTTTTACACTTTTTCGGTGGTTCGGGTCTTCCATTTTTTCGGAAATGGTTATTTTTCTGAGTGGGGTGGGTATCTTTTAATCCCGTTCAATGCTGGTTTTGGTTAGGCTCCTGTCATTCATTTTTATGATTTGATTTGTAAAGGTGGTAGTGATCTATCCTCGGATGCCCTAACTCATTATAGCGGGTTTGTATCTGGTTTAATAAATCTTGCTGCCCTTGGTCGGGCATGGGGGTAGGGCTACCGTTAATTTTATGTTGTAGGGTGCTTGTTTTTATAGTGTTTTGATGGCAAGGTGGGCTACTTCAAGGCGGGAATTTCATGATCTCAAGCAAGAGGCATTTCTGTTGTCATTAGTCCTTCTTCGGATAAAAGTTACCTACTTGAGTTTGTCAGTAAAGTGAATTCCGATGAAGACTGTGGATGACAGATCTTTATTTCCGTCGCTTTTTTGCGGCGATTTAACAATGGCGGATACTCTGCTTTTACTGAATCATTTTCAGGAGTAAACTGCTCTTCTTGTTGGCGGATATAGCGTTTGCGTGTGTGAATCCGATTCGTATTTAACTGAAACAGCCCAGTTAGATCTGTGTTCTTTATATCCACTAAGTATGAATGCTAGTATTACTTCAAGTAGATTAATTAGACCTAATGCAGCGTCTTTCAATGCCAAAATTCTAAATCATAAGTACTGTGGCAGTGTGGACCGATCCGAATCGTGATGAAGTCGTAAAGCATTACATTGCTATGGCAGAAAATGTTTTACTGATGTACGGTAGAATTGAAAGGCTACCGATGCGACTCGAAGACCGTGCCTTCCAGCAGAAGTACAACTGCAAAACCGAAACTCAAAGTCACGAAAACTGACAAGGAGGCAGATGGACCTCCTCTCCGTTTCATTGTTGTTCCTCTCCTACCCACCGCCACAAAGTATAGTGGATGTGTAATACAATGGTGGTTTGTCCCTTGGTACTAGTGAGGCGCCACTTTTGTACTTGGAATTAGCCCCCTTGTACCTCGCTGGGTGGGCTGGCCTTTTGGGCCATGCCAATAGCCCAGACACCTCCTCTGCGTTGAATATATATTCTGTCCGAGTATTGTGTCTTCTTTCGTCTTCAGGGAGTCCCGGGACGCTGCAGCTGTATTCCCCCTGCTTGTCCATAGCTAACCAGTACTTTTTTGTCATAGAACTATGGATTTTTTATCCTAAGAGGACAATCTAAGAGTAACAGCGTAAATAGAAAAAGGGTTTAGAAATTGGTTATCTATGGGAATGCTGGGGAATACACTTCCTTTATCGCTCTGCTGCCATCAATTTAGCTCCCCAAGTGTCTCCTCAAACGAAGGAGTTATAGCACTACGGCACATAAAGTATTACTGACGTAAGCCCATACTTTCAGACGGGTGTAGTCTTGCAACCAACATACGGTCATAATGTACTACAATGATGGATTATCCCTCGGTTTTAGTGAGACGCCACTATTTGAACCTTGAATTAGCCTTCTTGTACCCCACTGGGTGGGCTGGCCTTCGGGCTATGCCAATAGCCCAAACATCTTCTCTGCGCTGAATATATATTCTGCCCGAGTATTGTGTCTTCCTTCGTCTTTAGGGAAGTCTCAGGACGCTACAGTAAAAATCTATGGGTGTTACACACGTACCTACACAAAGGAAAATTTTTAAAGCAAATTTTGTGAGAAGCTGTATCATGGAAGCTTGCAGGGTAACACTGGTTTAATATAGTTGCTCAAAAACGGTGGCTTTTAATCTTTTATCAAGTGCCTCTACAAATCTTTTATAATGTAGCATAAGATACCTTTTAACCCATACAAAATGTCAAAAACTTTTGCTTTATTTATTTTGTTCGCTCACATAGTGCCGTAGCTTCAATACTGTTTCCTGCATAAATCACGTACCTTTTTGTTTAAGCTGGTTGGTGTGCTTGATCTTACTACAAAATGAACACATTATCTCTCCTGAGTACTGGTTCTAAGTTTGTTTCCTCTTGCCTGAAAGAATGGTCTAGATTTGGGCGTGCAAACTTGTAAGTATTGTTAATGCCAAGTGCACTCAACGCTCTCTTCTGGTTTTTCTATCTGCCAATCGTTCTTCCGTCCACGTTAACTTCGCTCTTATATTCTACCACCAATTCCTTTTATCCCAGCTATGAGGTCATGTGCCTTATTTTGTTCTCGCAAACCCATTTGTTTGCACGTTCTGTGTCTTTTGATATTATCATTGTGATGCTTTTGTTGGTAATAACGATTTAATACCGTTGCACTTTTGCCTAAGGACTATTATTAATTTTGTTTGCAGCATTCAACAGTCAAAAGATGACGTGGACGTTTGCACTCAGAATCTATGTGATTTATTTATCAAGATTATTAGTGGTGAGGGGAGAGTAGACATTCTAAACAAGTTGATATCTGAATTAGCAAAGGTAAGTTCATTATTCGTTTTCCAATATGGTTTGACAGGTATTTAACGACGATGACTTTTCATCGAAATTGGCAGACATTTTGTGGCTTCTGGGTAAGTCATACTGATTCTCTTTATGACAAATTCGCTGATTTAGATGTTGCAATGACCGATGCAAATGATGCTCAAGCAAGAGATCGTTTCTTCCAAATCCTCTCTGTGTGCAAGGGTTCAACGGATTCTGCGCTTTTAATGGAACGACTTTCCGATGAAACACTTGAACAAATATCCTTGATTAGTTCACATATGCAAACTCGAACTCGTTATGTGCGCATAAAGACTAGACTCTTTTACAAACAGCAGAAGTTCAATCTTCTTCGGGAGGAGAGTGAAGGCTATGCTAAGCTGATTGTTGATTTAAGTAACACCCCCATGGGTTCGGCGGAAGTTTGTATTACTCATGTTCGGTCTCTCATCGGCTATTTTGATCTTGATCCCAACCGCGTGCTCGATATCATTTTGGATGTCTTTGAAATTCGTCGAGACGCATTTTCTCTCTTCATCGAATTGCTCACTTTGTATCAGCCCGATAAAGCTGACTTAACTCATATTTTGGGTCACAAATTTCACTTCTATCAGGTAGAACTTATCGTTTGCCTATTTTAATAATCGAACTTATAGGAAAGGGAAGGTACCACACCGGAGTCTCTACACCGTCTTGCTGCACTCCTCATTTCCTCCGGTTTGGTTGATGTTGATATTCTTTTTGCTCATGTATGCTTATGTTTCTCCATCCTTTAGCTGAATTGACATAGTTTCTTCCACCTTTTTTTTCACGGATTTAAAAATATTGTCTAGCGCTTTCTGTGGGGAGCAAATAAGTCTATTGGAGAAATAGTAAATCACACTTTTTGATTTAATGTTAATCACTGGAATTCTTCATCGCAAGGGATTGTATTTTATTATTTAGGATACCAGTGCGCTCATTTATGAACGCCTATGAGCAATATGAGCCTTATTATTTTGTTTGCTTGTTGAAGATTAAGTCTATACCCTTTTTTGCTTTACTATGCGTATTTCGTGCGATGTCTGGTCTTTTCAAATGCATTCCATTTTCGGCTGGCAGCACAGAGGCCACTTAACCTTATGTTTTTCTTTGCATATTTTGGTGTCGGTACGCTACTTTGGTATTTCACTTGCAGTTGCAGCCCCCAGACGCGACTATTCACTCAGGTCGTCTGAAGAGTATTCGTGATGCAAAATCTTGGAGACCGGTCATGCACCCGACTGGTTCCGCCATACACGGCAGTTTGGACAATTTTATAGCGACCGGTGGCCTAGCCCCGACAGTTAGTGGTACCGGCACTGGTGGTTCAGGAAGTCTGCTAGGCGATCCCAGTCGACCGCTTGGTAGTGGGAATGACACAGATCACTGGAATGGTCTCAATGGTGGAGGCAGCAGGCGAGGAGGTGGTGCTTTAGACACAAGCGACGACTCCGACGACAAGAAAGATGCCTGGTTACCTGAAAATGACGTGGAAATCGAAGATTCTGCAGAGTTTCAGGTAGTGCCTTGGAAGAACAACTTTTTGCCGAAGTTTTAGACCTGGAGTCAAGTAAAAATGTTTGCTCCTGAATGAGAAACACCCCTTTTTAAATTACAGAATGTGTGCTGAATGTGAGGTGTCATGTCGTTGAAGTCATTGCATTTGCTTCCTGTTATAGTTTGTTAACAATCAGAAATTAGACCTCTGCACAGCTTTGGCTAATTCTGGCGATTGGAAGGCCGCTCAAAAAGTCATCGATAGATTTCCTGGTCACTGGGTCGGTTCCTATGCTCCACTCAACAAGGCTATCTGCAATCTGGTTCATTTCCTGATAGATCAACTTTACGAAAGGTGATTTTTTTCCGAATCAAATAATCAGTCTGGAAACCGCCCTCCCTTCATCCACCTGTTAAATATTATTTTAGCAAATCGACTTTGCCTCCATCGATGCTGAAGAGACGGAAGAAACCAACACCACCAGAGTTGTTCTTGAACCAGGAAGATGCCAAAAGGTTAACCATACAACAAGCAACCACCTTTGGCAACCTGGGACGTTATATTTTACCGATTGTTGGCTACCTTGGTCCCTTCGTTTCCAGTGACGTAACGCTTATCGTTAAGCTTTGTCGTGTTTGTTCCGTCTATGTATCTGATTTGGTGAGTTAGTGCTTCACTTTTAAATTAATTTTACGTTTAACTATTGCAATCATTACATGATTCAAAATCTTTTCGTAGATGAGTAAAAAGGCTCAACCAGATGCAGTTTACCAGGCAATATTCAACATGCTGGACGAGGCGATTTTGCCCGCTTTAAATATGGTGTCTGCGAATTGTTGTCTTGCTGAGGAGATATGGAAGCTTATTCGTCATTTGCCTTATGAACACAGGCTGGTGTTTATTTCCTTAGCCGTATTTTTTTCATCCACCCAGCTTATATCCATGATTCTAAATTCTGGTTACACTTTTTCTACAGGGTAATCGCATGCTTAATATTTTTTGAGTCTAATCTAACTACCGCCGATTTTTCTGTTTAGATTAAGTCTTCCTATCGGTAATATTACTGGCGTACTTCTTAATACTCATTTTTAGATATCGGCTTTACGGTCAATGGAAGCACATGAGTAGCCAAGGTGAGCCGGCGCTTCTACGGAAACGCACCACTATTCTCATTCGAACAAAGGCACTAATGAAGTAAGCGCTTAACGTTATCCATTGCTAGATATCTTTACCCACTAACGAGGAATGAAAAACAGGAATAACTCAACCATAGGCTTCCATTTCCAGGAAAATCGGCTCATTCAGTCTCGATTTTTAAATCTTCAAGTCGTCGGTGCTATCTTGATTATCGCTGACACCATTAATCGATTGTCATCATTGTTATTACGCTTGGATGTAGTAAATAACTACTTTGTCATTCATAAGCAGTGTTGATTTGAGAGGATTTATCAATAAACGTATTTTTGTAGGCGCCTGAGCAAAGAGAATGTCAAGCAACTGGGGCGTCATCTTGGTAAACTATCTCATAGCAATCCCGGTCTGCTGTTCGATTTTGTAAGCTTATCCTGATAATCATTTACACGTACTTAATTAAGCATCCAATATCCGCACTTGATGTCTCTTTTAGATGCTACATAATATACAAATGTTTACTAATCTCATTACCCCGGTCGTTGATTCGTTGAAGTATGTGAGCAGTCTCGGTTATGATGTCCTTGCATGTAAGTTCGTCCATTCAAATAATCTCTTTCCAACGCTTTGGTAAATTTTTATCCGTGCAAATAATCTATTATCTTCCAAGTCTGTCTTATCGAAGCACTGGCGTCGGACAAAAATAAGACGGATTCATTGGAAATGGGAAGCAATTTGCATGGTCAGTTTTCTTTTGTCACTCATAAGATTTTTATAGCCCTTGCTACCTTTACCGGAGCGCTGTGTAAGAAATATCAATTTGACTTGGCGGGTATCCTCCAATACGTTTTGAATCAACTTAAAGCTGGGAGAAGGTGAGCTTAAGAACGGCAGTACTGCTTACTTGAAAGGCACCATTTGAAATGTTTGTGTGTTAGAAACTGTCGCAAAATTTTTACTCATCTCGCTTTACTGAGATAACGGGCTTTATTGCTCGGTCTTCTGTGCCTTCAAGTTTTTGAACTACGTATGCCTCATGTACAAAATAATTTCAAGTGGTTCTCGAGTTTTAAGTATGCCATGTGTGAACGACTATTTCAGTTAAGGAGTCTATCTGGTTGTGCATAACATAGGTGTGGTAATAATGTCCATGTCCGCGTCATAACACTGCCTATTTATTGGTGAATAAGCTTCACATTTTCGTTTTTACGTCCCCATTAGTGAGGATCTACTCATCCTACAGGAGATAATCCACCAGATGGCGGGTTTAGATCCATACGAAGAGATGACCAACGAGCAGCTAGAGGCGGCCTCGGGTGGGGAGATTCTTCTCCAGGAGGGAGGCTACTACGCCCAAATTCGAAACGCACGTCGCAACGCTAATCGCTTGAAGGAAGCTCTTATCGAGAATAAGGTCATTATGCCACTCGTCTTTCTAATGGCGCAACAGAGGGATGCCATTCTCTACCTAGATGATCCAGAACGACACGTGAAAACCGCTGGACGTCTCTACGATCAGGTACGCGCATTAGGTTTACATTTCGGTGCGAAATACGCCTACAGGGGTGAGCGACTAATGTGGTCTCGGTACTTTTAGTGTCAAGGAACGTTGGTTCAATTCATCACCTTCCTTAGTCTTCAACTCTCGCGAGAAGAGATGCAGGCACAATGTTTTTCTATTGATCAAATGATGAGCGAGTACTCTGTCCCTGCGGATACAGCCTTCTGCCTCTTCCGAAACCTCTTTCTCCAAAAAGTTGCAGTAAGTTTTCTTTCCGTCTTCGCAATTTTTTATGCTTCTGAATCTAACGTCTCTGTTTTTGTTGCATATCCTTTCAGCATTTGTTTGAAGCGTCAATTGAGAAGTCCGGTGACGACGACAAAAGTGTACCAGCAAATAATAAGGTGGGTCCGATAATCCTTTATGTACGATCATTTATTTTGACGATGCATTACTATGCAAAAGTTGAACAGATTCCAAAACTAGCTTGGAGGTCATAGGACTTTTTCGTGGGGAGAGGGGGGTTGGATGCAGCGAGTGGTGCCCTACGATTGGATTTTCTGCTTTAGGCTGCTTATGTGAAGGCAGCACGCACCGTCATAGTCGACGTGGCTCACTCTATTGAGCCACTTTACCCGCCACGAGTTTGGGAGGAACTGGGTACGGCGTTCTTTGCCACCTTTTGGTGTCTCGAGTCGGGCGATCTCGTTTTCCCCAGCGCCGCCTACCAGCGGCAACGCCACATCTTACGCAGCCAACTCGATGCGATCGAGCAGAACTCCGACTTGGTGAGCATTCCTTTCCACCTTTCATTCATTGCTCAATCGAGGCATTCTTGCTTTCCATTTCCCTCTTGCGTTCGATCAGAATTCAGATAAGAAGCGTCGTGAGAAGGAGCGCTGTCAGACGCTGATGAATCGTCTGTCGAAGGAGCAGGACGCGCGTAGGGTGCATGTTGACCGCATTCGCGCTTGGTTGCTGTCGGAACGAGACACCTGGTTCCAAACGATGTCGGCCACCAAGACAGACACAATAACTCAGTTTTTACAATTCTGTGTCTATCCACGTGTATTCTACACTGCCAGCGATGCTGTCTATGCTGCCCAGTTCATCCACGTGCTCCACCAGCTGAAAGCTGCGCAATTCTCCACCTTGATTTGTCTCGACAGGGTAGGCATCACACCTATTCCCAGTCCAGAATCTGTTCCAAATATTTACAACTTCATTAATGATCGTGCCTTTGTCCCAAAAAGGAGTAGATGGCTCATTGGTTCAGTTATAAATATATTCGGCAGATGAACGTCATCTCCTCAATTTGTGTCCAGATTTTCAACGATATAACGTTGCCAGTAAGCATATGCACGGAGAAGGAGGCGCATCGCTACGGTCGATTTCTCTGCAGGGTTTTCGAATTTGTTATGCGATGGCACTCCTCGGAGGAGATCTTCAATCAAGAATGTGGCCAGTATCCCGGCTTTGTAACTGTTTTTCGCAAAGTAAGTTCCGTCTTTATCGAGTCAGTCCGATTCGCCTGTGTTTTACGTAGGCGATTGCTTCTAATCTTATTTGTTTTTTCTTCGGTGGTGGTGATGGTTGTAGGGCACGAATGCAAACACAAAGGCGGACCAATTGCAATTCGAGAACTACCGGCATGTAGTGCACAAGTGGCACTACAGAGTGACCAAGGCGGCAGTTGCGTGTCTTGAGTCGGGTAACTACGCACAAATCCGCAATGCCCTCATTGTGCTCACGCGCATCTTGCCGCACTACCCGAAAATTGGCCAATTCGGCAGCGCCGTAGAACGGAGGGTCAACAAACTCAAGGAGGAGGAGAAGGATAGGCGACCGGATCTAAAGGCAAGCTTTTCTTACTTCCCCTCATGTACAAAAAAGTAGCCCCAGAACAAGAACCAAGCTTTAAATATGTTACAGTCGTTTTACGCTTTTATCATGATCGGGTCGTCTGTTTCAAAAGCTGTTGTGCTTGAATTTCCCGAAGCACTTGATTCTTCTCTAAAGTCGTCAAAAGTCTCCCTATGGTGGGAGAAGCTTTGCGATTAGTGTACAAAGGGACTAGGCGGCTGTGGGGATGAAAAGATTTTCATGAAGTTAGAACTGGGAGAGACTGAAGTGCGTGGATGGTTACGTATACATTTTAATATCTATTGTTTTATTAGATAGCTTCTTTTCAAGATGTCGTTGAAACGAATATCATTTTTCTACATTATGTTCATGTCATTTAGAACTAGAATACTAGGCTTACAAACTGTGTTTATCCATTGAAAAAACGTGCTGTTCAAGTCAGATTAAGAAAACGAAGTTGCTATGGTGGAGTAGATGTCATATCACTGCCACCATTAGTGTTCTGATTCTTGAATCTTCTATCTGTTTCGCAGGTGATGGCTTTTAGCTACGCGGGTGTGTTACGTCCATTGAAGGCCAATTGGGTCTCGGAAGAGGAGTTTCACGAGGTGGAGCAGAAGCCTCCTACGAAGACCCAGTTGTCCTCCCAACACATCCAGTCGTCAACCTTGTCGCAGGGCAGTAACCCTGCCTTAGCAATAACAGAGGCATCTGTCATCGCCCCACCTACTACGACAGCTGTGGTCAGCACAAGCACCGCCCCTACCAGCACTCGCGTCTCTCCTCCCGTCGACTCCACGCGCACCCACACTGTCTCGTCATCCGAAGGAGGTATTGGCATACCCCTTTCTTGAACTTTCTGCCCTCCTTTCGCTCACAGTGTTTTACCTATCCCTTGTTCATTCACCTTTAGTCGTGAAGCCAGTTGTTGCAACAACTAATAGCAAGTCTACCAGGAACCCGAGTGTCTCATCTCAAAAGCGTGTTGCATCCAACGCATCCTGGTAAGCACCCTATTTCTCCCTCTCCAACCTCCCTAGTTACTTTTCTAGTAGATCAAGCTTTCCCTCTCTCTATACTTTAGTGAGGGCGGAAACTCCAGCTCAATAGAACACGTTTCCGGTGATGATCTTTGTGGTATGTTGCTTTAAATACAATGGTAATTGCTACATGGAAATTGCCGTTTAAATTCGATCTACTCAAGCGATCAGTGAAACCTATACTTATCCGTGCTCTGAACCTAGTAATTGTCATGACCAGACTTCTACTTTTGGTTACTTGATTCCTCATTCATTGAAACTCGAGTTCACGCTTTTTTACCTGGACCACACACAAGCGTCCGCGTTTAGAAATTTATAACTACGATACTATTCAATGTTCCCAAAATTTCCTATTTTAGGCAGGCTACTTATACTATTTACCAATTGTTTCAATCGTTATTTGCCTTTAAAATCCTATTATATTCAAACCAGCTGTTCTAAACGCAGTACGCATTTCTTCACCATCGTGTCATGGTTTTGCTAAAATTATTTTTAGAGATGCTGGTACACTATCGCGATTACCACAACTACTACTACCTATTGCATTAATATTGTGAGCATTAAGAGTTTGAGTTTGGATGGTTACCGAATTATTCGGAATTAAATATTCCAGACACAAAACACCGCCGCAACCCATCTGAGAGGAGCTATGGCGTGTCTTCTTCAAAAGTGAGTATATTTTGTCATCATTATTCCCTCAAGAAATATTAACTCCTTTCCGCTCTACTAGGCTGTCGGAGTTCCAGATTCATCTTCTAACACCGTGGCCCATTTCGAGCTATCCTTAGTGTTTCCTTTAGGACTTGCACTGTGTTATATTGCATTTAGTACTTTGTTCTTTATTCGTTTGCACAGTTTTGTAACATTCGCGATTGCCGCGTATTGTTTATCTATCTGAACGATGTCTATCTGAACATTTATAAATTGAATTTACGCCACTAGCGCCCTCGCGTGTCAGATCCACAGCAGCAGCAACAACAAATGAAAGAAGATTCGCCAACTCTAGTCTCCTCAAAAGAGATACGTCGCCTTCAGCGGAAGCGAGCAGCCGCCGCAGTCCTCCTCGGTAACCCAGCAGGCAACGTCGCTCCCAGCGACGTTGATGGCCGCGGAAATAAGGACAGCGTCGCTTATTTGGATCTCGACGACACGCATACTAGCAGCGCTGCGCCATCGTCGAAAAAGTCCAGAAAGGGTAAAGCACTGCCCCTCTATTCTGCACCTCTCAAAGTTTACACTTGAGCCACTAGATTTTCGTCGAATAGGCGGACCCCCTCGCCTCCCGGTGTCGATGGAGAAGCAACGGATGGAGGAGGAAGGAGTAGACCACCGGCACCGGCGTTCCCCTGCATCAGGCAGCCACCGACGCCATAGATCCACTCGTCGGGCCTCTGGGGGTGGCTCACCCTCTACACCACCTACGGCTGCACAGCTGCGTCACACGCGGAAGTAAGCCGACTGTCGCCGTCACTGCTTCCCTTCCCCTCGTCATGTATATTACGCAAAATTTTTTTACCAAAAAATCGTTTTGGTGTCTATCCCGCTGTGTTACATTTCTATGGCATATCGTCAGGGTTAGGACACCCAGTTGTCTGCTCACCACCTCAGCTAAAGGGGTAATTAAGCGTGACAGTAACCAAATTTTCCCAAAGGGAAAATTCACTGTGGTTCAAGGCTAAATTCTACTAGTTCCACATTTCCGAATAAGATTAGCTGGACTAGCTTTAGCAAGTACAAACATCGGAATGGGTTACGTGCTATGGAGCAGTGGAAGATTACCTACACCAAAGCCCAGATTCTGTAAAAGTATTGGAGTAGACCTTAGGGACGCAGGTCAGTTGAAAAAGAACACAGTGACCCAATAAAGGTTATTAATGTTGCAAGATGTTCATTTGCTGTGATTCTTCTTCCAAAGCTGAATCCAAGCAGCAATCCTCTCAATGTTTTGCGTCAGATTTTCGGGCGTATCGCTTTTTAGCTCATGAACGATCTCGGCGTCGTAGGAATCACGAGCCTCGTCGAGAACGACCTAAATGGTGAAGGAATCACCATTATGGGAAATCAAAAAATGACACAAATGCGTGAGGAAGTTACCTGAACGATTTCACAATGAATTAAATCCTGGATTTTCTTCGAGTTGTACCCTCGAGACGCGAGTCTTGGATACAGAATTTGGTTGTCAGTACGGAGCACAAAGATCGCATCAAACCATCTTTCAGGGAAAAAATCGCAGGAATGGTAATCAAGAATCTACAAGTATAAAGCCAAACGGAAATAAACCTGTCCACCCTCTTGTATCTTTGGTTCGATTTCATCTATTACGCGGTCTTCATCCAGAACGTGGCATTCGTTTACCTCATCAAAGCCATCATAAAGTCCACCCTCCTTGGCAATATCGTTGACAGAGACGTAACTCAGGCCACTAACACGAGCCAGCTCAGTTGCCAGCGTGGTTTTACCACATCCAGGTGTCCCGGTTATTAATATATTGGGTAAAACTCTATCCATTAAAAAATTACGAGTTCCTTAAGTTGCTTTTCTATCAATTCAAGTGAAGAAAGACTTGTGCTTAGGTTCACAGCAAGTACGTTTAGAGTTTGGGTGTTTTCGAAGGACTTATTTATACCTTGATCCTCCCGTACACGCGTCAGATAAGTTAGTCTCTGAATGGATTGCGATGGCTTAGAATTGTTTGCTAGTTCACACACAAGCGAACGAACACCACCGATAATGTTTTTCAGATCGTTCTGTATCCGAGCCGACGGTACTCCAACCGACCGCACGCACAGCTTCATCAGCGGTATCCTAAAACAGCGCATATTTTCCAACAAATTATAACAATTTTTTCAGTGCATTTCTAAGACTTTTTGCTCAAGATTAGAAAGTACAGAAACTTGATTTTGACTTGCGCTCCTGTTATTATTTTAATTTAACAGTGATTTAAATGAATAGTGACACAATCCATTCTCAAGATTGTAAGGAGTATATGGATAGCATAACATATTGCACTTACCACAAGTCAAACACATTGGGTAGTTTTACATGTGCAAGATCGGATATCGGCACTAAATATCTTACAGACTGCTGGAAATGGAGACCGTGTGGCGTTCTATGCATACATTTATATGCATAGTGAAATGCGCTTGTATGTCGTCTATGGTGGTAAATAATACGTAGGCCAAAAGCTTTCAAATAAGTTTGCAAAACACAGGACGATTTCAACGCAGTTTTATCAAACCTGCTTTCATTTTTTCCGCATGTAATATAATTTTTATCCTTGCGCATTGAGTGCCTTATTCTAATAGCGACTGGACTGTTTTCTGATATTCGAGAAGAAAAGCAAAAGTAGTATTATGAAAAGCGAAAATATAACGTTTCCTATGGATCACTTTTGCAGTGGATTGGTTAGCTGGACTTATGCCTTGAGTGTGACTGCCAACAAGTTTCTTACGGCTACTCCGTGCGATCGAGGCCTAAAACCGAAGCTTGTGGTCTGTAGACGCTGCTCGTTGCGTCTCGAAAATCGTCATAATTAAACCACTTTCGTATGATGGGACAGAAAATCGGTACCCTGCAATACATTCAGCTGGAAATAACCGCTTTTGAGAGGAAATTGGCTTTTTTTTCGCATTCTTCAATGCTGTTCCATTTATTTTAAAATTAACAAGTACGCTTTGCTTTATGGTTTGGGTAGTATAGTGTAATACGATAGTGGTTTATCCCTCGGTTCTGGTGAGGCGCCACTTTTGTGCTTCGAATTAGCCCCCTTGTACCTCGCTGGCCTTTTGGGCCATGCCAATAGCCCAGACACCTTCTCCGTGCTGAATATATATTCTGTCCGAGTATTGTGTCTTCTTTCGTCTTCAGGGAGTCCCGGGACGCTACAATAGTAAGTTACATTGTTTGCAAGGCGCCTCAATGCTTCTTTGCAAAGTGGTTAATTTGATCAAGATCTTTTACTTAATGGTTAGTCATCTTTGATAATACCTGTGGATTTCTTCTCTCCACTACTAGATAATGGCAGATATTTGTCACCAAGGTCTGTGAATTACTGTCCTTGAGTCTGCGAAACAGCTTGTGGGGATGCAATTGATTAATTCACTCATTGTTATCACGCTGCCAATAACACCATTATGTTATCCATTTGATTATTCTTAAAGTGTTTAAGCGAACTATCACCTGTACTTTGACTTTGCAGATGGCACCCTTCCCCTCTGTCCAAATTCTTATCTATTTGTAATAATTAGCTATACTCATTGCGTAAATACAATCATAGGGCATATTTGGATTTAATAACCTAGAGGCTTTACCAATTGCACTCTCACCCGAAAATAAAATAAAAGCCCGGCCTTAAAGGCCAAGTCCCTCGGCACATAATATAAGAGTGAGGAAGTTTTCATTTTTGTGTATGACCAATCGATGCTTCATATTGGTTTCTTACCATTATCACTAATTCTCCAAGATTCATTGCATCGTTAACAGTTTAGGGTCACAAAACATGAAACCTGCCTCCATCTCCGAGATCGTTAGTGGCCTGTAAGGCTGAGTTTAATCAACTGCGAAAAATAAACAAACTGTAAGTGGAGCAATGCCTTCAAGAGGCGTACGAATGGTAAAAGAGGAGAATCATTCATCAACTTATGTCTGCACGTTCTGGCAGGTATCACATTTGGGAAAGGCATCATTGTTGGTTGCAAACTACAACGCTCTGCCATAAGATTTTAAATGAAGCAAAATGACATGATACAAAGTGAGGATAGTGACAGCAGACCATTGAAACTCATATCTTCACTTGCTCAACTTGACAGGCATTTAAATAATCCGACGAAGCATGAGATTGCAACAAAACAGATTGAGCGAAAAAGTTAGTCCCAAAAAATTCTAAGGGAGATTTCTGATCGAGTTGGAGAACGTGTGAAAAACATTAGTACAGATTAATAAACTATTTAAGGCGCCCTTGCCACTGCTTTCAAGCCCCGACTACTACACAAGTAACCACCAAAATGCCTTCAGACAACTTTCAGGGCAGCTTCCTTCGCAACTCACTAAATGCAGCAGTGCATTCAATTTCATGTAGGAGTGGAAAGACGTTGCTAAGTCGTCAATCTGCCAAAGGGACATGTGCAGAGACGCTGTGATTACTCCTAGGCGATGAAGACGTCCACTCCAACCCCAAAAATGATGATGCTAAATAGTGATGTTTTTCCCATTAAATAAAAAATCGCTCTTTTAATTCCAACGGCGGTGGCAACTAGTCTGCCTGACCTCAAAAGGATACTAATTTTTCATTACACCTCCCGTCCTGACGACCTACACCTTGCCCTAAAATCCGGCCGAGACAGGCAGCTGTGGTGATGGGACTCATATACCTGACGAAAGCGTTTAGGAGCCAAGATCAAACGACGAAGTCCCAGAGTTCCCGCTCTAGCCTCTTCGAGTCCATAACTCATTGTTTGAAATCGTGTCTTTATGTTCCCAGTAAGTAGGATCACTATGAAGGAGAGGATTTCCGCTTTACAAAATCTATACAACATCAACGGAGACATACCACTTCATGTAAGCGGATAAATTTAGTGATGAGCCTTTTGGGATAGCTTTTAATAAGGAACCAGAAAAAAACAACTCCTGCCAATCTCATTTATTCCTCTGTCGCAATCTGCATAACAGCTGAATGAATCAGCAGAAAGACAAACCGTAACGCATTTACACTTTGGTACTTATGTCTTCGATACAAATCCACGCTTTAACCGAAGCATTCAAGGGAACCTAGACACCCAGGGCAGTAGCAACAAATGTGGCACAAACCAGAAACACCGCTTATGAGGAGAGAAAATTTTATTATGAGAAAAATTTGCTATGAGGAGAGAAAAGTTTGAACATTTTACTTGGTCGCACTCCACACTCGAGGCAGGACAAACATGCTGGTGAGCATCATGAGCGGCGCCGCGGTGGGCAGGGTGTCGATCAGTCCAGCACTGCCGGCGACATCTATGTGGGTGTAGGGCAGCTGCTTCTCGCAGCCTAGTCCGTGCTGAAATCGATAGCAGAAATGAAAACAAGCAAATGATGCGTTTAGTAGTAACGAGTGAGGAAACAGTGGCCATTCTATCCAACAACACCAAACTCATTTACGCGTCCCAGTCATTAAACACACAACATCATATTTGTGCCCCCTCGGGAGTACCTAGTTTGAATGACGCAAAATTCCCTTCTGACTACCGCATGAAGGCTTTTGGTGTGATGCCATAACATTTGGAATAAGGATTTTATAAAGAATTCAAATAGTTACAACTTGAAGCTTGGAAATAAGAAGTGTTTCACTCATGTGCTTCATCAAAGTACTGAGCAGAGGTCGTACATCCAGAAGTGAAATCACACCCCATTTGCCATGACGCAGCGGCTACCAAAATATGATAGAACATTTAAAAACATCTTTCAGAATAAACCATTTTTTGCATATTTTAAAGCAATAAGAACAATTAATCATAAATCGGATAGGCTGTGTCTGTGCAACGAAACTTGGTGTTTATTCCTTGCGATGATATAACAACTGGGAGACCAAATCTACACCAGTCACCGGACTAATCTATGCAGAAATAACCTTACAATCTTTTCATTCGTGTCTCTCATCTGGATTTGAAATGTTAGCAGGCCCAATGACCCAATATATCCGGCCATACGCTTGTAGACGGACCCAAAAGACCCGAAGTATAAGTGAGGAGAATGACACTACCGTGGGTTGGAGGAATTTGCGATCTGAAGTACCAAAAGTCACCTAGACAACATGTTAGGTGGGGGAGGTTATCCCCGCCTTGTAAGGTTAGAAACGAGCTTCAGTGTCGTCTTGGCCTCTGACAAAATCATATCCTGCTTAGAAAAACCACATGGTGACTATTTGCCACCTCCAACACACATAGGTAACTATTTCATCTGATCCCATGCAAGCAGCTTCCGTTAACTCAACGAGGTCCTTTTTATCGTACCACAAATCCCTCATCTCGTTACAAAAGATTCGCGATTTTACGGCCACGTTGCATGCAGGTGAACATAATGAGCCCCTGTAACTTGCCGTTCCCTGATTCTTCTATGGTTTGATGATTTAGTAGAGATTATCAAAGTATCCAATTTTCAAGATTGTCAACTTTGTCAAAATGCAGGTTGGATTATAACTTTCCGATTGCTATCTGTAAGCCATTGGATTCCATTTCTGCAATTATTTTTAGACATCCTCGCTGCACACACAGCATGAGTGGAAATAATTTACTTCGGCTGCATATATAAAGATGGAATCGTCTCATTTCGTCTTTACATGCCGTGATTATCACGAGTAATATTGCATTACAGATGGTAAGTTTACTTCGTTCATTTGCATAAAGATGCAGCCCAAATATCAACAGCTCTTCCGACATAGAAAAACCTAGATTAAATAGCACATCCAAGAGCCTGGTTTTCCGCCTAACTTATGAGTGGCAGGCAGGTGTGTCTGTAGTGGAGAGCAAGGGGAGGAAAGAGGCGAGCTGACCTTCTCGAGTCCGCTGGCCAAGATCATGAAAGCTGCGGGAAACTGATGGCCACGAGGCGTTGCACTGCTGGGCAGGTTATTGCATTGCAGCAAATCCTCGTACTCTGTGTGACCCTTGCACATTTCAAAGTCCTCCATGCGCACAGTCGACACCTAGGCACACCAAACACTCATGCTAAGCAGTTGGTACTCACAATCCTTCATTAAAAGGGACATTCTCGTTTCACCTCAGCCATGTCAGATATACGTTCACCAGCCTTCTGAAGTTTGTGCGACATGTCCAACTTGCGTGCGGGTCCGTTGTCCATGACGGCCTAGACAACACCCATACATAAAGGTTAGAGGGTGTCCACTGTAAAAGAGAGCAACTGACAGAAATCGAGCTTGCCGTGTAGCATTTGTAGGCACGAATGACGTGGCCCGTGAGGGTGGCTACGGTGAAGAGGAAGGGATTCACTGCATGCAGAGCCTACAATTACAAACTTAGTTATTGGAAAGACGTTCAGTTTTGCTTGTCAAGAGAAATCAGGGGATGTTTATCTAGCTTTTCATCAGTAAAAGCATCTGAGTTGGACAGCTTGAAAAATTTGTTTAATTTTTCTAATGAAAGCCATATATAAACGAAATCCAACACAGGAGTTTAATTTCTGTTTTATTGTTAATCTCACAGAACATTCTACGCTAGAAAATTCGCATCATTTCTGTCAAATGACAAAACTATTCTCACAGCATATTATAGAATTTTCCAATTTAGTGCGCGATTAACCTCGTTAAGTCTGACCACTTTCCCCGACGAGACGAGATCAGCCCTGACCTTATTTCCAATGTCTAGATTGTCAATTTTAGTGAAGAGATTTTGGACAACGAAGGGCGGAAGGGAGGGGTGCTAAAGAGAGTGGAAGGCGAAAACAGACCTCTTCTTTGGCGAGACAGAGGAGGTCGGACATGACCATACGTCCCTCAGCGTCGGTATTGCCGATGCGGACGCGTTTGCCAGCACGCGAGGTGATGATCTCGTCAGCGACATAGGCATCTGGCCCGATGGCGTTGCGCACGAAAGCGAGGTGGGCGACCACGCGGAGGCCAGCGGGACGAAGAAGGGAGAGAGTGCGCAGAAAGCCCGCCACCGCTGCAGCACCACACTTGTCCCGGTGCATCCCCGCCATCACACCGCCAGCCTTGATGTCGTGGCCACCCGTATCAAAGGTAATGCCCTTGCCAACCAAAAAGAGACTCGTGTCCACCTTCTCACCGCCGCAGTACTCCAGATGAACCACCCGACCTCGGTACCGTTCCACGCCTTCCAGACCAGAGAAAGGCGCACCGATTTCAAAGCTTGTTCAGAAGGTTGACCAATGGTCTAACGACATTTACGTCACCAATCTCGATAATAATAAGGTCGGGTGGACCGAAGTGTGAGCGCACACTGTTCCGCGAGGGAATTGCATCCTTCATAGGTTTTCTTTTCTTTTTTTGATTGCGTGATTCAAAATTCACCAGATTTTTTAATACACAGGCGTGAAACAACACCAGACTCAAAAGGCATCTCGGTGCTCCACAATGCTTTGTAGTGCTGTGAAGTAACGTTTTTTGTTAAGTTTTCTACCTTAGTCGAGGGCATTGAGACCAAAGACTCGTTGTGGTGATAACACAGAACGTCTCAATAGAAAGATTTCGTTGTGAGATTGAAGGTCTCCTGTGAATTGTAAGAGGAGTAATGCAGTGCCAGAATGGAGGAGTCGCATTATTTTAATGGCGTTGTATCATTAAACGCAGTAAAATTCCAAGGTCCTCATCTTTCACTGAAATGAAAACATCATATGCAACCTGAAGAAAATAGTCCTAGGGAATGAAATGACAAACTGAGCACCAATGGGTGGCGGGTAGACATGACGTTTAAAAGTGATGAGGATCAGAGGCCTCTTCAACTGACTCTACCCAGGTCTGCCCCATTTCCGCACTAGCATAGCTAAGCGCTGAGGGGTGAGGCAAACCTGACCGAAATTGCCTCAAATGAGCTCGCACTCCAGAGAAGGCAGAGTGGCTGCGACGTCTCCCACCGCGAATCGATAGTGCTTGGAAGTAAACAAGGCCAACTAACTAACAAAGGCCACCGAGATCGATTGCTACGGGGTGGAAGTACAGCCTCGCAGCTAGGTAAGGGTCCAGCCACTTTACTACTTCCAATCGGGAATAAGTAGTGCCGGTGGGCACCATTAAAATCACAGTTTCCACGATGTCTAATAAAAATGAAACATTTTAGGGCGAACAAATTCCAGGTAGTCGGTGAAAAACGAGCCGAAATCAACAAGTTTTAAGTACCTCTTACCTAAGCTACTTGAAAATTCGCCGACTAGGCTCGAAATGCAGTGAGCGTCAAAAGGGTTCAAGCTGACTCACTAGACGTCGCCCTATCGACAGCAGCCATCAAAGGATAGACGTGAGGGTCGATATCGGTGACGCTGACGGTAACATCGGGACAGTTCTGGAATTCTTCTTGGAGGTAATCCACGATGCGCGGAGCCGCCATCCGCTCAGGATCGGAGCCACCAATGTCACGGGCCACCCGTCGGCCCTCCTCGATGGCTGAGGCGACCTTTAATAGGTCCTCTGAGGCCCCAAAGACACCCAGTTCCGTGTACTTAGTCTGTTTGTGAGGGAAAGCCTCACGAATCTCCAGGGGCTACATTCGCGCACAACAGAGATGGGATACTGTAATTCAGCTTGAAATAACAGACATAAAAGTTTAAACGAAGTGCCAACATCTTCCGCTGGTTATAATTCGGGAACATCAGTGGGAGAACCTTCATACTCTTATAAGTAATCTGCAATGAAGCACATTAATGCTCGTCTGACAGTGATCCAGACGCCTAATTGCTGCATATCAGTGTAAAATCGATTTCGGCCAATAGGGATAGCCTGATCAAGGCACAGAGTGCAGACTGGACGCAGCTATTTGTGGGAAGTGCAGAGAACGATGAGCTGAGTTTGGAGGTGTCACCTGATAGAGTGCGTGAAGTGCTCCAAGGACGGCATTTAACAGGGGAAATTCGCCCTCAGCCCAGAGAGCGTCTTTGGGTGCCGAAGCGATGGGACCCAGTACTAGGAGGGGCTGCTCACAACCGATCGCGACGGCTCTAGGCGAATAGAAAGTTACTTTCATGAGGTTAAACCAAAAAAGACTACGTTTTGGTTCGGATGCCCATTTCAACTGGTGGACGGTAATCATGAGCGTCAGAGGCGATGATGAATAGCAAAGTAACATGACTCACTTCTTCACACCTGCCACTGCCGCGTCGTAGATGTTTCTGCTATCATCGACGTCGCCGTTTAGTTTTCCCGTTGGTGAGAATATCTGGGAAAAGATGGAAAACACAAAAGCCATATCAGTGTGAGTTAAGTTTTCCCCGTCCACTTACCAGAAGTTGGCCTGCAAATTAAGCTTCATGCGGTATGTGCAAATGACAAGGTACTAACGCATTAAATTTTAACAAAGATAGGAACTCACTAAGCGGTGGCACGGATGAGCGGGAAAAGCCAAGATATCATAGGTTTCGGAGATTTTTGGGTTTACCTAAGGAGTGCATAATTAAAAGATACGGAGTTGCAAAAAGGCACAGCAAGAAGTATGGGAATAAGAAACTTACCCTCTCATAGGAGCAGAGGGCATCTTCGATTGAAACGAAGTCGCATCCAAGTCCCTTTATGGCGTCGTTAATAAAAATGACGACATCGAAACTCTCGTCCAAAACGTCGCAGACAACAACGAGCGACATGGTGGTAGAATAGAGACTTTCTGGCAAGGGAGAAGCTGATGGAATGAAAGCCACCAATTCAGGGCACGTATTGGCAGAAGCAATGCCGAGGTTCAGCCAATAAGCTAGGCCAATAGAAGAGCCAATCCGCATTCAAGGTATTGCGTGCGCTAGACATGCTAAATGATGGACTGAGGCGATGGGCTAGAATCGTGTGACAAAAGACGGAGAAGAAAATGTAGGGTGAGCAACAAACTGTGCGCTACTGAATGTTGTATAGTAGCAAAATCACAAATTATGCTTTTATAACTGAAGCCAGAGGTAAAATTCGATTTTCCCTATTTACACTGCATTGTCTCTAATATCTAGCTCCCCTTTTTCGATAACTTTGACACCTGATAATTATAAAACATTGGGGATGCCAGTAGAAAGGAACTTACTTGACTAGTGAGAATCCATTGGGAGTGCGTGCGCACTAGCTATGACTCACACACAGGTGGGATGGTGGAGGCACATGTAGTTTAGCATGCCCATTGGTGAGCCGGATGGATAGAGTCTCGCTTTCTCTACCACTTTTGCTTCTCTCTTGTAGGCGGGCCTCACCGGGATGCAACAACGGACTTACACATGCTTTTTACTTATCGACAAGCAAAAACACTTGAATCATATACACTCCACTAATTGCCGGCCAGATAGTTTATTTTACCCTAGCTAAGATGAATTAGAAAGTGTCCGTTAAGTCCTATCCTCTTTATTGTTTTCAAGGAGAGTTAGCTAAAATGTACAGTGAGAATGGCAACTGACCGGCATGCGAATCTAAGTTTGAAATGGCGAAAAATGCTGATGAGTGAATGCAGTGCAGGTGCATAAATCAGCCGCATTTCTAAAACTAGGGCTGGGTCATTGAAAATCACTATGGTCAGAGTCGGGTCTCCGATGTGGCAACAGTGGCTTTGGACCACAGGATGCTAGATCGCATAATAATAAGTGGGGTGATTAACCGATTAAGTCATATATCACCCCGACACAGCTCGTGGGTAGTGGTATATTTGTAAAAGAACGTTTTAAGTGATGCACTCTACTAGTCGGGAGTATTAGTGCAAGACAGTTAAATGGAGACGCTTCTAGGTGTTACTTTCTCGCGAGTATTGATGTGGTGGGTGGACCCGTCTAGTGAAGTGGCATTATTGTCATTCTGGAAGCACTTGCACCTCTCCCGTGTGGTAGACAACGTTCACGACTGTGATCTTATCTTAGTCAGGTGACTTCACCAAACTTCTTAAATCTCATGCATCACTCACCCTAATTGTTGGTCCTACATACCCAACCAAATGAGAGGTTGTTCTTTGTCTTGCCGAATAAAAGAAACTTCTCAAGTCTGGCTATCCTTGCTAACCGAGGCGGAACCAGAATGCTGGTGAAGTGACAAATTCATGATGTCTCACTCTATGCTAGTAGTAGTAGTTGTGGTAGTAGTAGCAGTGGCTCATCACACCTATTGGCTATACGTATGTTTCTGGACATTGTGCTTCGTATTCGCAGATCAACCACAAATGATGCTGCTGAAATAGATGGCATTGTAACTCGCCGGACCTGTGGGCTCACTCCCAGTTGAACCTCAGTTCAATGCATAATTCACAGTGTGATTTAAATCAAATGAATCACAGGTGAATTGTCCAACAAAAAAGTGTGATCCACCCTTTGTCATCCTCATTTCCCCTTGTACATTACTTCCTATTGCATACATGGCAATGGTTGTGATAATCGTGATGTAGAATGAATGATGGGTTGCAGAATCTCATATCGATAATAAAACCTGTTATCGTGTGCTCTGTTAGTCGGATGAAGGTAGACCATGAATGTTCTTTCCTAAACGCGCAACAAATGCTTTTGGTTTGGTTTAGCAGTAGCATTGAGGGAAAGTCAAAAATTGTGGAGTACGTTGTTGTGCTCTTGGAAAGACACTGAAACGGTTGTTGAATAGGCCAATTGCCGAAGCGTGAAACGCATGAATCATAGGGAAGTTGACATTCCAGTGCATATCTACATTGTTCATTTCAAAATCGGCCTTTTTGCTCCCTACTCTACAAAGAGGTGGAAGCAGCTGAATTCAGTACGAAGTTCCTTCCCACGGCAAGTAATAGAGCAGGAGTTCCCTCCTTTATTTATTGCTTTATTTAAAGATGTGTCTGGTTATCCAGCTACCCATAGAGGAGCAATCTGCTGTAGAGCGAACAACAAGTTATAATGAACCCACTTGACTCCTCTTGATATTTCAAGCATGCTTAAGATGCAGTCACCAAGGTTTGACATCACGATTTTGTTGTAAATATCTACTAACACCAATGAGTACGACTTCTATTTGGAGAGTCCAGCGTAATTACCATTGTCAATCTTCAACGTTTAAAGAAGTAGAACTTGAAATATCTCGCCGTAAATCAAAACCACTAATAGCAGAAATATTGAAAAAAGACATGAAAAACTGTCGTTCTTTGTTATGCAAGTCATTGAACTCGAAATTCAAATGCTACAAAGGGAGCGCTAACAGATTACGCAGTGGTGTGCATACTCCTCATCGCACGTGTCATTCAGCTGCTATGTGCACGAAAGACTCACCAGAGCAGGCACTCAGTCAGCTTGAATACATTTAATCACACTTGTTGTCAGTGCTTAATTTGAATGGCTTATACCCTTCAGTAAGGAATGATATTACTTTCACCACTACCCAAACAACTTTTGTCCCTCTATGACTGCGCACTTTTTGTGCGGAAAGCATCACAACTACTAAATAGTTGTGTTCTTGAAAGCATGCCATTTCATCATTTCATTACTAAATACATATTCCCAATGCTGACAAGCATAATAGGCTGTAAGTTTTAAGTAAAGATATAAACATCACTTTAAAGTCAATAAAATAGGACCACACTTCAGCATTAGACACATTTTCGTCTCTTTGATTTGCTGAGTATATTTGAGGAATTACCCACAGCAAAGGGCTCTAAGGAGATGAACCAGGGCGAGAATGGCATAAAAATTAGCAGTAGATCAAATAAATTTCGGATGACTAGCTGACAGAAATAGTTAGGTGCGAAGAGGAGTGGCCCTCTCCCGACTCTGCCACCAAAAACGCAATTATAACCAGTTAGGTAGGTCAGTGTGGCAACCATGTGGACTTGGTTGTTTACATTAAGCCGAGGTAAATAAATCCTTACTGTTGGAATACGTGCCCCTCCCTCACCCTCTACATCCTTTTCCTATGCCTCCACCTCTCCCATTCTCTACCGCCTCCTTCAGAGGCGAATGTCACCCTCTTCCTTGTCGTAACTGTCGCACGCGTGCACCTAGTAGTAGCGACTATGATTTATGCGAAAGGTTACTGTTTTAGGAGGAACAGTCGTTTTGTCCGGGGAACCTCATGACTCCCGGGACTGGCACGAAAGAGGTCTTTTTGGGTACTTTTTCCACAACAAGTAAAAACGCGCCCTGACCCTCCTATGCGCACCAGCAAATACCTCTACTACGGCTAAGATTTGGTATCGATGCCGCGACCACTGTGGAGACAGGAAAGACGTGTGAGGCCAAAACGTACCCACATATGAAGCTAAGACTATAGTTATTGTGTCGCACAATTAATAGTTACAATCGAATTCATGCATAGGTTGAAGGAGTGGGGTAAACTGAAGTGTGGCTTTCAAAAGTGAAAAGCAACACTAACTTTTATCAGCAAAAGAAATGGCAAACTGAGAGAGAGACATGACTTCTAGACATAACTTTGAAGAATCTCAGTGGAAGAGGAACTGAGATAGGGTGGGAGAGGAGGGAGGGGAATAATTGTAATAATTTTCCACGAACGTCTCTCATAATGATGCTTTTGCGTGATCGAGCTGCTTAGTTAAGCTGCAGCTCTGGACGGGCGTGAATAGATTGGCGCGTCCAAATTATTTTGCCTGTCTGTCAACACTCGTCTGTGAGAAGGGGGACCTGATGGACAGGCTATTGGTGGTGGAGTGGACCACACAGAACTCTTTGTAAAGGTAGCATGTTCCTCAAGAAGTGGACACCATTCAATGTTGCATGAAACAAACGACTTAAATCTGATGGTTCTACTCCGGTTTGAAATGCAAAGGCACATTTGTCGGTTTCATGAAGTCATGTAGAGTAATATTGGATGAAATGTTTAAGTCGTTCTGCCTTGTACATAGCACTTTGAGCACTGTCATTACCAGTGGAAAATGCAGCCACTTTAAATATATTAGTTTGGACAAGAGAAGACTAAGTGGTACCCACCTGCATGAGTACCGAAAGACAGCATGGAAAATGTGTCACTTCATCATCATGACGATATAGTGAGTAGAGGTGATACTGACAAGCGTACTCATAGAACTTTAAACGCTGATTAATAGCACGAAATGGGGCTTTCTTTTGTGCTAACTAATGGTGCTACCTTCCGGCTGCCTCGAGATCCAACTTGAAAATGTGTGCAGAGCCTTCGATTTTATTCCACAAGACTGCTTCTGTAGTCCACTAATTACGCTTTAATGTGATACATACATCTGCAGGAACTTTACTTCAAATATGTCACTTTAGGCCCAGGATATACAAATCAGGGGAAGTTTCAATCTTCCACACGTCGACATTTCAAAATGATTAATTTATGCATTGAAATGAATTTTAACTTTTCTATGTCACATAGTGTTTAAGTAAAATGGGCGTTGATTGTAAAAAAATTGTTACTTATCCTCACCGAGGTAAACTGAACTAAAAGCTTCCGGAATATTGCGTGTCACATTTTCGGTAAAGCCAATGTGTGTGTGCCCGTATGCGTAGATGGGTGGATGGATGGATGGATGGATGTAATGATAAATACGGGATAGATGTAGCGACGAATACGAACCGGATGGGCAGGGGGTGAACGGACGCATGGCTGGATAATTTGGATGAATGGATGGGTGGATAGGTAAATAAAATGCACCGTTTCATGGCCATTTGCCAGTCAGCTGCAACCGATTGACCACTTGGGCAGGTGAATGCACATGAAATACGACAGGAATCTGGATTAGAATACAAGTGTAGTACTTCCTTGTAATAAACACGGTTCCGAATCAACCTTCCGACAAGCTCACTGAATTGCACATATGAGAATTCAAAACCATGCTATTTATACATGGGAGATGTCAAAGGAACTTAAGCTTGCTAAGGAAGCGCCCCTCAAACGATTCATTCCAACCGGTTTTAAAGTTACCTGCCACTTAGAAATATTCGTCGGACTGCTCAACGTGAAGGCTTAACTAGGAGCTGTACATTCCCAACTGAAATGCTTTTCTATGGCAAAAAGCAAAGACAAACTGACCTTACAACTCGGTACGAGGATCATAAATGTGGCACCCTTGTTGTGTGACCAAAGAATTCTTTTTCGAACCTGCTTCTTCACTAGAAATTCCCAAAGCAAAGATAAGCCATTAGAAAGTGTTAGTTTTACGATTGACGTAGTATTGACCAGCTCTAATACTTAGTGACCATACCAAAGTTTACAACGGTCAAATGTACCTTCACAACAAAACCTTCGGTGAACACTGGCTTCATTCATTGATTGTACTACATTTGATTTTGAATTAATAGCAGAAGAGAATTTACACTTGGGCTTAACCTTAGTCACCTCTGCTGGATCCATTCACGAAGTGGTAGAAATAAAGCATTGAATCCTATCAGCAGCCTTACCAAACTGTTCAAATTCACCATGAATAAAATGAATATAATGTAATTATTTAATTGAATTTGTTTCACAAATTGACAATAGCAAATAAGTAATATGAGAGATGCTGAATATGTGTAACACTTATAGGTAAGATAAAATTACTTACAACCAATTCCTACTACTTCAGCATCTTATCTAAGGCTAAAAAATTATTTAGGTTGAGTCACCTGTTCAATGTGTTTGTTCTTCATTGCAAAATAACAACCTACTAGGTGAATAAGTAAATTCAGTCTGCTTAAACTACAGGAATGTAGAATGTCTCAGGACGCTCCATCAATAAAGTCAATGCTGATTCACGTTGACATCCCCACTTCACCGTTATTTGTGTTTACTTAAAACTAGTACTTTGCATGTCGGAAATTGCCATCAAGTCATGCCGTCGCCGGCGAAACATTGTAATCGAGACTAAGAGTAGGATTTCTTACGATTCGACCATTGCGGGGTGAAAAAGTTGGGACGGTGAAAGAAAGAAAAGATCAAAGTTAAGTGCGTGAAGGACATAAGCACGATGTGTCATTAGTAAGGATGGTACGCTTACTAATATTGTCACCTGAATGGATCCGTGTCTTTCGCCCAAAAAACAGCAATATTTTAAAACCACAAATGTCAGGTCGGATACCGTCGGGAAGGCTACCAAAAGGGTCTGAGAGTTCCAATTTTTTAACATGATTCGCTGAGGTTTGTGTAAAGGTGAGGTAAAAAATGTTTTTGAGATCCTTAGAATGGAATTGGCGATGTGCACCGGTAACCTAAAGACAACAGGCCCGTCTTCATTCTTGTCTGTCTCGAAAGGTGCCTTACATCATGTGCTTTAAATACCTGCATCAGTGAAAAACCATATTTTCTACCCTCTATGTGTTATATAAAATTGTACGATAAGTACTATTCCATTTTGGGGCTGTCATTGTCGGTGACTTTTCAGTTGTTTGTATGTATTAGCTTTTCACCTTTTGGAATCAAAACCATAATTTCTTATGGACCTCCAAGTATAAGTCAATCTTTGCTGAAGTACACGCAGCACTGAAAGAGGATTGGTGGTTAAGTTGATTAACATACCAAGAAAAAAGCGAATTTTGGCTCAAATGAAATTATCTTGTGTAACAATATGCATGAGATATTAGGAATTAGTATTCTGCTCGTGATCGTGGTCCGACTCTCGCTAATTGGTTTCTATTTTAGCTGTTCTAGTTTTACGGTTAATTTTCAGCTTAAGTACATAAAAATCATATTAGACTGACTATTTGGGAGATTTTCAGGCAGGACGGTAAAATGGATAAAGTTAAAACAGTCCAAAGTGAAGACGGCTTATACTTTCTCTAAATGCTTGCTAGATAGAGGGGGATGTTCACAATGCCATTCTCCCATTTAGAAATGGTGGCGGATAATGAATGATGATAATTTGGGTCGTGGTGTGACTAAAGCGCGTGTGGTAGAGAGGCGGGGCTGGGGGCGGTGCTGAATCCAGATTATGCATGGAGGAAGACAATACGAGTGCCAATCTCAGGCCAACTCACCTCGTGGTCATCGTGCATGGAACTCAACTCAAGCGAGGCTCGGTCCTCAAAGTCCTAGCGTAAGCGGTCACGCTGGCTCATGTTTGACCCCCACCACCCCCCTCCTTCTCTGCCTCCCGCTCAGACAGCCCAACCACGCAAACACCGCGTGGTTGGCCTGACTGATTTGCATTTTATGCGTCCCAAGCAAAAGACAAAACAACTGGCCCATTAAAGCCGGGAATAGACCCTCATGGTTATTAGCTTCTGCATTTATATTCATCGAGGAGAATGGCAAAGAAAATGCAAAATTCATACGTCTTCGTATTTTAAAGATATAAAAACACATTCTGTCATTAACTTAGAGAATTAGATTTTCCACATGATTGATGTCACAGAGCTCCTACTGAGATTCCGGAAACATGTTTAAGGTTTTCAAATATGCAAAATGGGGTAGAATATGGGAAAAAATATACTTTGGGACAAAATCCTACATGGCTTAATTTAGCAAGAAAATTTTTTTCTTTTTTAGTCCCTTATGTAGACTAAATGACGTGAGCGAAGAGACGACGAACGGCATTTATGACACCATATAAGTTACCCATAAAGAGAGTGAGCTATTTATTTTTCCTTTCTGAGGCTAGACAGCCATATTTTCACAACTGTGGCTGAACTGTTTTGATGGGTTATTTGTGCTTTTGCCACTGCTGGAGACAATTGTCCCCGGTAGAAGCGGTCTCTGTAAAGGAGAGCTGACCACACCCTCCAAACAGCATTTAAATGTCAAATAGCCTCATCTTTTAATTGAATTTCAAATACTGGAAGTGGACAGCAGAAATTCATGCGAAATGCAACATTCCACCTCATTCGAGCGTGATGAATGGGGGAAAACTCTCAAAAGGTAAAAGGCCCGAGTCATCGGCGCATTATTTAACAGGAGAAATCAGTTGGAAACAGAAAAGTGGTGTTCTATGCACTTACTGATGTTAGAGGTAATGTTTGAAACCGGAAGTAAGAGTGGCACAATGGTGCGCAAAAATTCCGAAATAATGTGTTTTGTTTTCAAACGCCCTTGGCAAGACTAAACCGATGTTAAGTTTCGGAAAGTAGCTTGGCCTACCCGATGTCTTTCACAGCCCCATAGAATTGATGGATCACATTAAAGCATTTGCTAAAAAAAAGAAATGGCCCAAGTTACTAGCTTTTCATAAAATGAATCCTAGTACCTACATCAAAAGTGGTTTAAAGTGGTGATCCAAATTACAAAGTAAAGCGATGTTTAGTAAAAGAATGAGAAGCGGAAACAAAATTCAAGGGTCATAATTATGCCTTGTTCAATTGCCATTCCTTATTATTCTATTTCCAACCACATCTCAAGCCTACTAAGATACCGGTTCGCTTGACTAAATAATAATGTTTCAAGTCCGTTCCTTAACTCCAGTTTCTCAACAAATAATTACTTTTCCATATACAACTATAATTTTCTTGTAAGTTTTCAGAGCTCTATTTTGAAAAAGCTCGAATATTTGCACGATTTTCCATTTTTAATTAAATACACTTTATCCATTCTGTCGAATCAGTGGACAGCACTTTGTAACGAGAACTACCCGTGATACCGCAATAAAAGTACGACTAATTCGTAAATGTAATCCGCAACACATCCGAACAAAGAAGGCAGTGCTCTGAAAAATATAAAAAAAGTGTTTCCTGAATTATTCGAACATCACATTCAAGTAACCAAAGAGGAAGAGTGGTTTTC